CTGCATCATATGGCAGAGATTTATTTTTATTTCTAAAAAATATATTCTTAGCACCCATACTTTAATGTGGAAAAAGCCTAAAAAAAGGATAAAAGCCATAATTGGAGTACAAAACACCAAACGACATGCACCTTTCATTATAACCATTGGCATGTGACAACTCTAATCAATTCAAGTACAGTGATCAGCTGGAACTTATGCCTGTATAATAACAAGCCTAAATAAATAAGAAATAGAAAAATAATATTTGAGAATATATGAACTCAAAAAACGAGTGTGATTGAAGGCGCTTGCAGCTAAGGCACCTGTGCTTATTTCCTCTTAGGAAGCAGCAGATGCTTAGGCAATAGATGCCCTGGCATCTTCCTCATTAGAACACACCAAACCTCTCAGAAATTCTTGAAAGACCAATTCAAACAGGTTTTCAGATCTATAATTTTAAAAATCTGATAACAGAACCTTCAAAATTAGCAATGCCAACACCACAGAGAGAGCATAACTGCCCTAACCAGTCTGTCCTTCAGTTGGGTCAGACAATCTGCAATTAGAAGTCTCTCTGAGGTCCTTTAGCAGCAAGAGTAAAGGAGCAGGAGTTCACATGGGAACAAAAGCATTAAGAAGATACAAAAATGCCCTTAGAGAATCAGTGAAAGTCAGATTCATAGTCTCAAAGTAGGCACTGGAAATAAGAAAAAAAAAATCCCAATATTTCATAAGACAAAAGCCACAATATGCTCGCTGGAATGCAGGGAGAAAAAGAAAAGTATCATGAAATTTGGGGGGGAAAAAACCCTAGAGGTGTGAGAGAAAGAAACTGTATAAACATCAGTATACCCAAAGTAACCTGTGCTCTTATTAATCATAATTCTAAAATGATAAAAAGACTCTCTTTTGGAGTGAAACAGTCATTGCTGTCACATGCTTCATTATGGAAAGGATTTGTGTAGTTTCCTTTTTGCAATGTTCCACTTGTTTTACTTTTCAAAGCCCTCTTACAGCAATTACCAGGCACTACAGTGCCAATCCACATTTAAAAACTAAGAGACATCTTAGGAAGAAAGAGGTAAGGAGTTTTGCTCCAAAATGTTTTAATATATTAAAAAGCTGAAAGTTAAATAAAGCAAAGGATAGTAGCTTTATTCAGAATTGAAATTAAGAGGTCAGATTCCTTTGCTTTATTGTTGGCAAGTTTACACCAAAATTATTTGTAATACCTTGTAGAAACTATAAACATGTCATATTCACAGCAAATCCCCACTTCTATTAGAAAAAGGTGCTTCACTCAGAGGGTGGTTGGGCACTGCAACAGGCTCCCCACGGCAATGGTCACAGCACCAAGCCTGACAGAGTTCAAGAAGTTTGGACAATGCTCTCAGGTACATGGTGTGACTCCTGGGGTGTCCTGTGCAGGGCTAAGAGTTGAACTTGATGATTCTTGTGGGTCCCTTTCAACTCAGCATATTCTGTGATTCTATATTTGAAGCAAAATTTGGACTCTAAGCCAGTTGTGATGGTTCAGACTTGGCTCCCTGCCAAATGCCTAACCCCCCACTAGCAGCCCCTCTCTTCCCTCCTTTCTACTTCCACCAAGGCAAAGGAAAAAGTAAATTGAAAAACTCGAAAAAATCAAGTTAGTTATATAAAAAATATATTTTATGTATATTACAGTTAAGATGCTATGTACACAGCAAAAGGGAATCCAAACACCCCCCGAAGGGATAGGGAAAGGGGAAAAAGGGACAAAAGGAAACAAAAAGGGACACCGAATAGATATGCACAATCAAACCCGAGAACTAGTAAAATAATTATTAAAACAAATCTCACCATGTCCCTTAGAAAGCAGGATTGTAGACACAGCCAGCACTCTCCAAGCTTCCACGTGGTAAGCCAGTGGATGCTGCAGGCCTCAGCCTTAGATAAGCGAGACCAATGCAGGAACCCACTGCTCCTGAACTTCGGCAGAAGAGAAGAGAGAGAGAAGGCTTCTCCTTCCTTCTTATTTATACCTCAATTTACGTAAAAATTGTATGGAATACTGGGAACACTGCCCCTTCCTTGGTTACAAACTGGTAACCAGGGAAGGCCTAGATTAAAACCACCACATCAGTGTTAATAGTTTTGAGGTAAATTTGTGCCACTTTAATGCTTTTTATCACCTTTATTTTAAGTCAAGGCCCTCTTCGGGGACATTAGTAGTTATACTCTCTTGTGATTGCTAAAAAGAAAAATACACCCTATGTCTCATTCTCTTTGATTTCAAGTGGATACAAGGCCATGCATGGGTACCCAACACTGCTGCACACATACTTTTTCATCTGTTTTGCTTAAACAAGCAATGAATTCATTGTCACCAATGACCTCATTAGCATAGACTTACCTGCATCTGCAGTATAAAAAGTGCTCCATAAAAAGAAATTCTATTTTATGTCATTAATCAAGACTTTTAAAGCTACTATTTGATAGACAAAGTGAACTAGCTCACCTTCTTCTTATTTACTGGTAGAAATAGCTTGTCTGTCTGTTCAAGAAGACACCAGTGATGTTGCTTTACAGGATACACTGATGTAGTCAGACTTTGCTTATGATCAGGTAACGTTATTTTTATCCTGGTTCTCCATCAAGCTACTTTAAAGAGGAATTTAAGTTCTTTCACACACTTTACAAGCCTCTTTCAAAATGTGCACTATTTCCATTTGTCAACTAGCATGTTTTCAAGGCAATCCTGCTGGAGGCACAAGGTCATGGATTCTCCCTCTCTGGAGACATTCCCGTGTAACCTGTTTTAGGGTGACCCTGCCTTGGAAGGTGGGTTGGATTAGATGATCTCCAGAGGTCCCTTCCAACCCTAAAAATTATTTCTTTCTGTAACAAATAGGAAGAAACACAGAAGAGTATAATAAAAAAAATTCTACCATGAGATAAAGATTACAATATATTCTAGCGTATTTCAATAAGTACCCACTAAAAAGAGAGCCCTAATTTGGGGTCAGCATTTCATAGTGAAGTAATCAATCAGAAGACTGTTGCAATGCTACTTGCTAAAGCACACAAATGATCACCTGTAAATTATTTTGAGGGTGGGACTTTTGAAGCAGGGAGCGACGCAAACATACAAATGTGAATTTTGGCTACAACTATAAAGGAATAGTAACAAATCTAGTAAAATGTACCCGTGTAAAAGTAGGGCCTTTGCTCATGCACAACTCTGCATGAGATGTTCAATCTCAGATCCTCTAAAGTTTCTTTTACACAAGTTCAAATGTCTATTCTGAAACCACCTGAAAAAGCACTAAATAAAATACAGAAAAACTGAATAATTTCACACTTTTTTTTTTTCCTTTTTCAGCCAATTTTTTTCAATGCTTAATGGGTTCAACATCTGGTTTTTGAGACTGCGTCTTTAATGTATGCAATGTTTCATGCCTGTAAAGGAACTGTTTGAAGTGAAGAGAGAAGACTGAAAAAATTCAAATCATTGGCTTCCTTGATGTAGGACCAATTTATGTGCATTTTAGTTAATAAATTTAACTCCTGGCAGTTTGAAATGTCAATTAACTCAAAATAAGTCCCATTAGATAGTGCAGACACTGGATTCTCCTGTTTGACTCTGGTTTAAATGCACATGTAATTGATTGCAAAACAATCACTATTAAAAAGCACAGTATACTGTCACTGTTTGGAAAAAAAAGAAGTTTCATAAATGAAAAAAAAAAATTGTCTTTTTAATTCACTCATACTCTGTAATTCTAGCTCAGATGTATTTAGTTTTATTCTACAATGTACTGAACAAACATTACTGAAATTACTCTACCAAGACGCCATCAACAAAGACTGGATTTTTTCCATATGGAATAAATACTGCTATCGTTTTACATATGTCTTTGCTTACTTTCAGTTCTAAATATAAAAACATTGTAAACAGAAACAGGCATAGAAGAGTTATCGAATCCTGCTAGAGCCAAAACCTGGACACAAATGTAACATCATAAGGCAAACAGGTTTGAACTCAAAATGAAATTCCAGGACTCCAAGTGCTATAGAAAGCAGATGCTAAACTCAAAACACATCAGTGCTTTTTCATCAAACCTTGGGGTTTGCTTTGGGTTTTTTTTGTTATTGTTGTGTTGCTTTTGTTGGTTTTTTTTTTAAGTGTTCACAGAAAACTAATTTGCCATTTTGACAGCCCTAGTATGTAAAGCCTGGACAAAAGAGCAACTGTAAGCGTTGAAAGGCTACTTCCTACTCCCAACTAAACAAGAACAAATATGTTCCCAAAACTCATCCAAGCAGCTGTATTTCAAAAAGGTTCTGTTTCATTCTTAATTTGGAAACAAAGGAGAGTGCTTTGCAATGTATTATTTGCATTACTCTAATAATATAGAAATCAGATTCTGTGCCTGCACGTACAAAAGCTTAGACTGCAATTTGGCAGACTAGATTGTATTATCATGTGTTCACCTTTTTTCTAACAGACCTTTTCTTCATGGAAGTAAGATGCCAATGAAACATTTCAAGAAAGACAGAAATTACACGTCACATTAAAGTAAGGGAAAGAAAGAGTTCTGGCTTCAAACTGCTTGCTGTTTGTGCTTCATGCAACACGTGGCAAATCACAGACTGGTCAGTCAACTCCCTATAGCTCAGGACAAATGAATTTGTAGATGGCTCTTAGTAAGGATTCAATTCTGACAGATCCTCGGTAACCGCAGTGGCAAGAAAGATGCTTCTAACTTCACTGCACTCCTCAGATTTTACAATGGTGTTTTTACTTCAACAGGAGCATCCCCATTTGCACAGACACTACTTTTGAGTTGGTTTTGTCGTGCTTGAGAGAGCTCTAAGAACAAACTGCTGTTTCATTTAAAGTCCCGCTTCACTTTCACTGCCCTTCTGTAGTTAAAAATATATGGAGGAAGGACAGAGGGGCCAGATGTCTCTCTAGTCAGCTTGTTAAACACTGTAGCAAAGTTATTACTGAAAGAATATTTAAAGGAACTTACCAGTAGAGAAAATAAGAACTGTGTTGTCCCAAAGACCATATGTTTTCAGAGCATCGGTAAGATTTCCTACAGCTTCATCCATAAGTGTCACCATCCCTGCATAATGGCGCCTCTTTAAATCTTTTATGTAAGAATATGGTTTCACATATTCTTCAGGGACCTCAAGAGGTTCATGGACAGACTGAAAGGCAAGGTAGAGAAAGAGGGGCTGGGGTGGAAGGGACAGAATGGAAATTAGTTGAACTACGTGCCAAAGTTACTGCAGTAAAAGCAGACCTGATTCATCAACAGTGCTGGCAGTGTGTTTTGCTTTCTTCTACATCTTCTAATCCCTGCACATAAACGAATAAAACTTTGAAAAATTACTTCTCCAAATCTGTGGAAAAACATTAGGTGTATCTTTTCTTCATAATACATTTGTGAACAATTTATTTCTACTAAACTTCTCACATTAAATTTTCCGTTCTCTCCTTAGAAGTGCAAACTACTAGCTAAACCATTTCTAAAAACTTATTAATTGTATTGTAATAAAAGAAATGGAGATCTGTAGCAGGCCAGTGCCATGCAAACAAAGATGACCATTTTTACCAGCACTTCTTCTCACATTTAGCTCTATGCACCTTAGTGAATAGCGCTGAATTACAGTTCAAGTGCAGGTCTCTCTCTCTTCATATTTCAGTCACATTTTTTAAAACATTCCTTAACACTGAAGTTATCAGAGTAACAGCTGCTGACTGTACCTTCTCAGTTTTATGATTGGCTATAAGATCTATTGCTCTTTCTGTAAATAAATTTGTGGAGTACACATTTTTAAATCCAGTTGCAACTTCTTCTCCATCTCGGAAGTCCAGAGCACAGCGTGTTACATTTTTTGTTTTGATGAGGACACAACGGTCATGAGTATAATAATCCTCACTGCCCAAAAGATAGCCTAGAACAAGAAAAGATGTGAAATGAGCAGGCCAATATCGTATCACAGAAACAGACACAGCAGAGGCAAAAAGAAGTCAAACATAAATGTCAGTACTTCAGTGGTTTTGAGTTGAAGCATGAATTCAACACTGGACCACCTACAGAGACACCCCTGACAGTTCTGAGTAGCACAACATTAAATACCTCATAGATTTTTCATCATTAATGCAAGTAGTAATTTCAAAAGAAATTAAACATTTTGAAAGCAGTTCCAAGACTTCATATTTATAATTTGATATCAAAAACATTAGCAATAAACTAATGCACTGATTGCAAAGGCAGCTATCTAGTCTGTGTACTAGTCTGATTTTTGCTGGTATGATTTTGTATGTTTGTATTTTCTATTTGAAAGTTTGGAATTTCTAAAATTTATTTATTCAAAAACACTCAAGTACAAAGCATGTTTTATGTCAGCTGCAAAGTAATTTCTGATCCATTGCTGACACCAGGTGGTGAAGAAAGGACACTACCATTCAGAGATACCCAAAAGAAATCAAGCAAAAATTCTACAGGTGTAGATTTGCTCCTACCTAGGGCTATCCTGTGGAGCAGGATAACGCTACCCTTTCTGTTTCAGCTATTACAAACAAAACTTTTTAAAATTCTTTGAATATCACAAATTACTACTACTTACTTGAATTTTTATTCAGCAGCTTCAGATAGTTATTTGTGCAAAACGTATGTACAGAAAGAAGTAGTTACCTTAAATACCATATAAATGTCTAATATATTTTTGGGAGGAAAAAATGTGTTTTCTTTCAAAGCATAAAGACTGACTTTGTGGGCAGACGGCTTACATCAGTGTATTCAGAGGCACAAATAGCATTTTTTTCCATTTTGAAGGGCCACTGGGGGACACATTCTATCAAGTGTGGCATGGAATCAAATGCTGCTAATCAATGCCTACTGGAACTTTATTAACATTGTAGGATATTGAACTGTTACATTCCCTGAAAAATAATGTCCTATTGGGTACCCAAAGACCATACCCAGTGCCAGCATGTGTTCAGGCTTGTGCATTAAGTGCTTGCTCAGTCCTAGGGTGAGATTTCATGACGAATGGCAGCCTACCTACATCTATGCCATCAAAAGATCCCAAGCTTCTGTGAAGGGATGGGAGGAAGCATATATGTTTAAGCAATGAGCCATTGTATTCTGATCCACATATATTAGCTTAATTCAGTTGTGAAAACTATGAACGTAAGCTCCCTGAAGACTCAAAGGAGATGAACTACCTAAGGGAATTGTTTTTCCTACCTAACATTTGGATCAACATTGTCTATAGAAGGCACACTGCACAATCTTGCTCTTCATTTAAGGTTTGAAAAGAGCAACACAGGCTTCTGCACTGAAGTGAACGATTTTGAAATTCATGATTCAATTAAAGTGTCTTGAAAACAACCAAGTGGACATGGACCACTTTGCACTCAGTTCTGTGCAGAATGAAACGCAGAGCAGACAGCCCAAGTCACTTAATATCTGTGACACTTGTGCACAACTAATAAACTTCCAATCAACACTGGGAGAGGAGAGCAACACTGTAAGAGGAAGAATGAGCAATGGGTAGCTACAAGTTGCTCTCTAAGTAGTGGACTCACACATAAACAATCTATTTTTTTATTAGTCTGAGAGTTTGACTTCGTAACTTGCAAGCTTTTTTGCATGCTGCTTTATAGAGGTTTTCACATCATTCTGTCACCAGCTCTGGAAAATCAATGCTACACAAACGGACAGTAATCTCCATTCCCTGCTCTCCTGTGCTGCTGTGTGGAAGAGGTAGAGAACTGGGAATAAAGTTAAGCTTGGGAAAGAGGGCGGGGCGGGGGAAGATCGTAAGAGCAGAATACCTTATTTGGAGCCACACGATAATTATAGTATTTTCTTCAGTAAGTTGTTAAGTTTAGGCAGATGCCTAAAGGCATTATTTTAAGCAGTTCAGAAACATTCACACCCAGGTATTGGTGTACTTATAAACTAACAGTAAATCTGTTGTTCTTAAAAGAATGTGGCAGTTTTTTACCCTTTTTAACACTGCATTTATTGCCCACGTTAAATCAAACCATTACCGAAGTAAGTATCAAATCCTCTGCGAGTTGGAAGGCACTCTTTCCTGTACATCCCTAAATGCCACTTCCCCACCATATGAGTAACATATCCCGCCTCTTGAAGTAGCTCTGGGAGGAGTTTCTCATCCAGTGGCAGACAGCTGGGCTGGCATGGCCAAATTATCTGGTGTTGTAAACCTGTGTGGATCTAGCAGATAAAAGAAGCATGAGAGATCACTTATAATGAAGCCATGGGTTCCCATGGGTTAATTTATAACCAGGCCCAAAAGGACATACAGCTACATCAGATGTTAGCCTTAGTTTTAGGGGATCCTCTTTTTACTGATGTAGCACTGAGGAAGATGAGGAAGCTGCAAGTGGAGGGCAAGGTGGTATGGAGAAAGACAAGAAAATAGCACTGCAAGGGTTAACATCATCTTCCCAGGCATAAATCAAGTGCAATTAAAAAAAAAAAACCAACCCAACACCAAAACCAAAAAACAAACCAACACAAAACAAAACAAACCCAAAGCTTATAATGTTTTTAGCTAAAAATCCAACAGGTAACAATGACACTTTGAAGGCTAAGGACAACATCTTAGCATGGAGTTAGAGATATTAAATGAGATGGAAATGGTCAAAAAGGCACATGGCAGTTGAAGCTATCAAGCTTTCGCCTGTATCAGAGAACAGGAAATTCTGTATCAGAAAAGGATGATAAAAAATTGCTCTTCTAAAAGGATATTATATATACACATTTTTATACTTATTTGCATACTTTAAATGAGTGTGAGCACCATAAAAAGTATTTGGATATGGGGATGACCCAAAGTTTAGACACTGCCTAGGTCTGACCTTTAATAGTTCAAGTTAAGCTTCCAATCTTAATAAGTGGTGGATTTTGTACCTCTTTACAAAAGCATGGCTGACAACAATACTTCAAGTAGTATATTGTGCTTGATATAAGGAAACTCTTCAATTACTGTGTACTATAAGCTGAATTTTGTCAAATCTTGTCTTCTCCACTATAAAAAAAAGGCACTACCCTAAAACTAGGCCAGCAAACATACAGAAGTTTATAATACAAGTAAATATACAAGTATAATACAAGTATAAATATCTTATTTATTTACTTAATATTTCTATTAATCTGTGTGTGTCAAAGAACAAAACCTTCAAGACCTCCTAGAGCACAAGATACCAGATTTGATAACTCCACGAAGCACACCAGTGTAGCAAGCTCCATGATTAACTTTTAAAGCATCACTTTAGCGACACTCAAAGTGGCTTTTAAAATAAGCCCTGATTTTACACAAGTGAGTAAGGCCCTCTTATAAAGGGCCTGTTAGTTACCAATTTTCGTTGAAATAGGAGGTTTCAAAAATTATAGTATTAATTTTATATTATATATAAAATTATATTAAAAATATTTTTTAAATGCTGTGTTACAGAAAATATTGTTAATATAGAGAAAGACACACACTAGCAAAGTACTTTAATTTCTCCCACTGTTCCTGGAAAACAAGAACAAGAAGAGGAAAGTAATAGTTAAAAAAATCTACAGCTTTCTTAGACGAATACCATTGCTCTTTTTTCTTACAGATTGCAAGGTGACTATCAAAATTCCAGCTCCTGATAGGACTAGATTTAGGTTAGTGTCTCAAATCCCTAGGTAATTGTTAATCATATCAATGGGTAAAACAAAGAAAAAAAAATCCCAACTGTTTGCTGCATAATTATTTCCTGCACCAAATATTTTTCTTTTTAAAAAAGAATATGTCCATTTTCTAATATTTATTATATTTCTAATATTTATCTTATTTGCAACAAGATCAACATAAAGATCATTAAATTATCAAGCCAGATGTATAGCATGAATTTAATCCAGATTGAACCATAGCTATTTCCAGGCCCACTTTTAAAATGAGTTGGAGCAATGGCCCATTTCTAGGTAAGCATGTTCACACTATGAACTGTATTTTAAAAACAGTCACAATGAAGAAATATTTTAGGTCATTTAACAGCTTAAAGAGCTGCTAAAGACAACGTAAATTACTTCTTCCTATTAATTGTTATTGATTCTTGGAGTTTCTAGGAATAGGACAAATGTTGCATTGAAAGCATATCACCTAGAACAACCTTTCTGCAACAAGAGATAGGATCCAATCATACAGAATGATGTTTATTTTCATTAATTAAGAGCAGTTTCTTTGGAAAATCACTACCATTAACATGGATGAGCAGAACTTTGAGAGAGAGAGGGGAAGTTTCTGAAATGCACTTAACCCGTTGTGATTTTCCTCCTTCCATCCATGCTGTATGGCCATGCTTCTTTCCTTCCACTCCTGCTTTTCCAACATTGCAACAAGGGCAGGAAGAGGGAGAATTATACCAGTGTTAAAAAGCCCAATCTTTATACCTGTGCAACTGAAAAAAGAAGTGGAAAAATCATGACTGTGACTATGAAGTAGCTGGGCATGTAGCCCAAGGATCATTCTGTGCACACTCCATCAAGAAGCACAGAAACATCTACGGTACCGTATGGAGGAGAATGTATACAGCTTGGGATGCATTTAAACCTGCATTGGAAAAGATGCTGGAAAAACTGAACGAGTGGTGCTGATCCACTTTTGTGTGCACCTCGACCATGTGCCTGTCCACTGGAGAAGTACCTAAGAGTCAGATGACTAAGGGTATCTTCCACTACAGGCTGCCATGCCTATTAATCCAACCTAAGCACAGAGAGCACCTCGGCTTCCCTAGAGCAGAACAACTTGTACTAAATCCACGTCGGCTTACTCTGAGTTCAAAAGACAAAGGTAAGTTAAGACTGCATATAAAAGTAGCCGGTTTCCACAGAGCAGTGGAAACCAGCTTCTTCCCAGCGCACCGGCACACGGGTCACATGAAGCACAAACTACATGGAGCGTTGCCAGAAGCAAGCAGGGGAGCAACACCTGCCATCCACCTGCCGACAGCTCGCGGAGCGCCAAGTTTGGTCAGCGGAGGGAGCCCCGGGGGCAAGGGAGGGAGCCCCGGAGTTTCTCCCGCAGATAGCAGCTCCGGCTCCGAGTGCTCGCCCTACCTGGTAGCGGCCGGAGAGCAGCTGGCTGCGGGACGGGGTGCAGAGGGGCTGGGTGTAGTAGCGCTCCAGGCGCACGCCGCCCGCGCCCAGCGCGTCCAGCCGCGGAGTGCGGATGGCAGAGCCGTGCCAGCCCACGTCGCCCCAGCCCAGGTCGTCAGCCAGCACCAACACCAGGTGTGGGGCGGGCGGCCGGGACGCCGCCGGGCGCGGCAGATAGAGGGGCAGGAGGCAGAGGGGCAGGCAGAGGGGCAGGCAGAGGAGCCCGCTGAGCGCCATTCCCGTGCCCGTCCACCCCACTATTACCGGCAGCAGGAACTGGGCCGCAAAGCCCGCCCCAGGCCTGGAGCTCCGCCCGCCGAGCGAACCGGGCGGGGAGGGGGCGGTACCGGGGCGGGGCAGGCCCGGACGCGCCTTGGCCGAGCCTGGGGGACGGGGACAGGGCCTGTTGGGGCTTTGGGAGGGTGAGGTTTGGAGTGAGTTGAGAAAGGAAATTGTAAAGTTGTTGCTGGGGTTGGCGGAGTATCCGACTCGCTGATGCTGGCAGTCCGTTCTAATTTTGACTTTCCTCAATTCTTACATTAAACACCCGTTTTAAACCACGGAGCCTTTCCCCAGGGGAACCAGGTAACTATGTTCAAGCTTGTGTTTCAAATAATCTGTGTTTTCAAGGAAGTCACAGTAGGAGGAAGAGGAGAAGAGGACATCGTGCTTTCAGGTACAAGTAATTGGGCTGTTACTTCTGCCTTCATAGGAGTTCATCCAGATCTAATATATACTGCTTACAGAGTTTACTCTGTGCGTAAGTGAAGTGAGACAGCTGCAACACAGACATGGCCTTGCTGCTTGCTAATGTGTGCTGCAGCCCAGGAAAAACAAGTCGCCACCGTCACTGAAGATGCAGCTGAGCTGAGCTGAGCAAGATGGAAATTATTCCTGTTGGAGGAACTCTCAGTATCAGCTGCACTCTTTCATACACACACACAGACACACACAACACACTCACAAATAAGACACCCATGTGTGTCATCCCTCCCTCCTCCCCCTCGACCTCTCTGCAAAACCATAAAAATCACAGTGCTTTTTTCTTTTCATTTTGCCTGTACAGATGAAAAACCTTGATCTAGGTCTGGCTCTAAAATGGTGGTCGTGACTGTTAGTTACCGTGTAGGAAGGAAGTGAAGCAACCCAGAAGCAGAAATAGCAGCTATGTCAACAGGGCTGTCTGTTTCTGCAAACCATAAAATTGCCTAAAGCAGTAATGCAACCAACCACTACTTTAGTTTTAATCTTGATGTAAAATCTAAGACCGTGAAAGGACAGAAATAGCTATCAACTTGGATCAATTTTGTTCATCCATGGAATAAACATAAATTTCAGTGTCCAGCTGAAGATCAAATAACCACGTGTTTCACATTTAGCTAGAATGGTGCGTACGTGTATTGCCAAATTTATACAGTCATTTGGTAACAGGTCAAAGAACAGTCCACATTAAAAACTGGTTTTCTTGGTAAGAAAGCCAAATACTGAGTATGCTAGACTCCTGACTACTTTGTTTTTGATCAACTACTTTCTTTTTGATTTCTCTTTATAAAGAAAGTTCATGCTTCTATGAATGAAGTCTAGTGGATAAGCCTATGAAGTTATTAGGCTGGGTTTTTTTAAATGCCACTGATTTCCCTGCTGGTTTGAAAACAACAGCAATGATGAGTGATGCCAGATTTTTTTCTGCAATGACAATATGCTATAGTCACAGCCAGTACTGTAACAGGAAGCAACAGTACTGTCCTAAAGTCAGTTTTTCCTGAAGTAAATTCCAGGATTGCTGGTATGTGACTATGAGTTGAATTTTTTAAATTGAGGTGTGATTCATACTGTTCAAAAGCAGCAAAGTTCTGATTTATCTTTTCCCTAGTTCAGGTCTCATGACCAGTCTCAGATGTCGCACTGAACTGTTTATTTGTCTAACTTCTTCCATGCCCTTATTACAGGTAAAGTTTCATTCAAAGTGCATTCCCATGGAAACCATTTTAGTTCATTCAAAATAATTACTTCGAAAATCTGCATAGTGCTGGTGAAATCAGAAATGGTGGATACAAATTTTGCAATAAAATTAATAATAGCTATTCACCAGTCATGTTTTCAAAGTTACCACGGTATTCTAGTGCAGCTGAACTCATATTCCCTTGTGTCAAGAGTTATGTGCTGATTATCCTACTCCACCAGAACAGGATAACCTGGTTGCCTGAGCTGACAGTTAAAACATTAAATGGAATTATCTGAAACATATACTGCAGATACTGCACATTCACAGTCTGAATGTTGCTGCCTGTCATATTTTCTAAGTATTTATGGTTTATTTTATATTTTGTTACTGGTTGAGGGAATCGGAATCCCAATCAGAAAATACTATTTACACCAGACAACATTCTCTTGAATCAAAAAAAATAAATCCCAGAAACTGTCTATGTTCAGTCTCTTGTGTTTCAGTCTACCTTTTCTGAATTTGGGGCTGAATAATTTGGATGCTGTTTTGGGGTCAGTGATTAATGAAGCCATTAGAGTGACACATAAGATTATGGTATCCATGTGGATTTATCATTCCATACAAAGCATGAACATGACACTTTTTCCATGGAAACTTGGAGCAAAAATTCAAATGGTAATAGTAACATTTAGTCTGATATGCAAACACTCTCTGGAGATGGAATAATAAAGGAAAATGAAAAAAAAAAGTATGTCTGAGAAAACAGCCTTTTGACATATCCTGGATCTGAGTATTTCAGAAAATTTCGTAGATGACCAACTGTCATTTTTTCCCTTCATTGCAGAAACTGTCTCCTCTGTTAGCTAATGGTGTTGCGGAAGACTCCAGAGAAGTCCCTGTCAAACTTTCTACCTTGATGTTTCTGTTTGATTGGTTAGAAGCCCTCTTAAAACTCAGATGTACTACTTAAAACATTCTTGCTCCTATTCACTTACTCTTGCTGTATCTTGGCACCACAAGTTTATGCAACACCGTATCTCAACGTGTAATGAAGTGACAGGAAGATACAAAAGCTGCTGAATACTTCCCCCATCTCATTTCTCCAGCTTTACCTTTTTTTTTTTTTTTCCTTAAAAGCCTTGAAAGATGGAGCTATATATGTGAATCTCTCTGTAGGGATGATTTGTAAAACTTTGTCTTAATACTGTTTCATTTATCTGTGTTGTGCAAGATGCTGCAATGTTGAGCTATCCTGATGAATACTCAGTAAGCTGATTTGGGTATCAGAGGAGTAAAAAAGAAGCTAGGTCAAGTAGGAAGCCCTTTTAGACCTATGATTATCACAACTATAGCACTTCTAATACAGACATTCTTAAGAAGTAACAGAATGTAACAAGCTCTCAGATACTCCATCTGTCTTACAAATGGAGTATCTGAGAGTCAGTGATGAACAGGAAGTTGTTTTAGTCTTCTAACTTGACTGCAGTAAAGAAACTTTACATTGCCATGTCCCAGAAGCATCATAACACATTGTCTGCTTATCTAAATCTTGAAATTAAATGAAAATTAGAATAATAGAATATGCTGAGTTGGAAGGAACCCACAAGGATCGAGTCCAGCTCCTGGCCCTGCAGAGGACAACCCCAAGAATCACACTATCCGCCTGAGAGCATTGTCCAGAAGCTCCTTGAACTCTAACAAGTTTGGTGCTGTGACCATTTCCCCGTGGAGGCTGTTCCAGTGCCCAACCACACTCTGAGTGAAGAACCTTTTCCTATATCTAACCTAAGCCTCCCTGACACAGTTTCATGCCATTCCCTCAGGTCCTGTCACTGGTCACCACAGAGAACTGTGGTGCCTGCTCCTCCTCTTCCCCTCACAAGGAAGTTGCCTCCCTTCCCTTCAGTCTCCTCTTCTCCAGGCTGAACAGACCAAGCGACCTCAGCCACTCCTCATACAGCTTCCACTAATTAGCCAAGGCTTGATCTAGGTGAGACTTGGGTGACAAGAGGTGTCAGTGAGAAACACACAAAGAAATCAGTGTCTGGATCTGTATAATACTACACTGTACAATAAGACAGGTCCTGGAGAAATTAGGATTTGGGAGTTACAGCTAGAAATCTTTATGAAGGGTACAGTTTCTGAGTGCACCCGACTATAGGAATTGTATCTGCTATTTTGCTCAGGCTGCAGAAAGCCTGTCCCTTCTGCTCAGTCAGACTGATTCAGTTGATGTGTTCATGAATAACACTTATTTCTTCCAAGTTAGAAAAGAAGTTACAAACCTGATTCTAACTTTTCAAACTGGGATGTGCAGGCATCATTGGAATAGTTTTGGCTTAGCAGACTTATTAGGAATGTATATGTGAAAGTCTGTCTCAGAGGGACTGTTGCTGTACACTTCAGATTGTGGTGTCTGCTGAATTTGCATAATCTTGGGAAATACTGAAATTCAAAACTGTGCTTTTAAGAATTGCTCTTCTCCTCCATACTCTAAATAAAACCATAGAGCATTGTGTTGTATTTTAGATTTCTGCCAGGTTGACACACTGGGAAAAAACGTCAACAGTTTGCCTTTAATAACACCTTTATTATTTTTAGTGGTTGATGGAACGTATTTCAATTCCTTATGAAGCATTCTGAGCAGAACTAGTGATATGATTTTAATGACGAGTTTGCTATTCATGTTGTAAAGAAGACAGGGTAAGCTACTTTACCCTGAGGGCACGCAAAGGAGGAACTGTTGAGTGTCAAGGAGGAGGAGGAACTTGCTATTGGACAGTATCAAGAGCACCTTTCTTGTATGCATAAATGCAGATCTGCCAGCCAGTGTGGAAGCAAGCTGAATCAATGACCTACTCATTCCCGGCCACTTTATGCTCACAAGTGCTACTGGGAAGCAAGTGCTTCTGCTCACAAGTGCTGCTGGTTCATCAGCTCTGCTCAGATCTCTAATGTGAACAGCCCACACAAGGAAGTAGGACGGTAAGACTATTGAATTTCTCATTGATGTATGGCAATGAGGATCTTGTGCTTAGTAATTAGCAAATCTCAGTAGTTCAATTCTCTTAATTTCATGCATATTAACAGCACTATTTCCTACTGCGTAATTTGCTGTATCCTCATCTGAGTTTATATTTTGGGACTTTCACCCTTTCTCTGAAGGCGCATTCTTGTTGGTTCAGTCAGCACCAGTGGCTCTTGTATAATTGTTGCTGGATAATTTTTACCTAAAAGTTCAACTTCCAATTTCTGTCCAACTTTGCTGAGTTCCATGGGAACATAAGCAAAA